GGTGGAAGGCTATCCAGAAATCTCTCCACTAAGGTGAACACTGTGTAATGTCAAAAGACAGTTTTTAAATATTAGCTGTTCACATACAATTACTGTAGGAGCAATCTAGCTCTCCTTAGTTGAAGAAAATCATTGTAATATGAATAACAAAGAGTGAATAATGAAAATAAAGAGTGAATAATGAAGTGAAATAATAACAGTAGCAAAAATCTCCCTGATAGTAGTAGTTAATCAAAGGCTGGTGATCACCACTGCAGGAATATCACACGCAAATACAATGCTGGTTTTGCTGGACCACTGACAGAAAGTAGCACAGCACATTGGGAAAATGCAGAAGATATTGTCTAAATCACTGTTATCTGTTCAGAATATGAGTGAATCCAATGTAAGAGTCATCCTCAAAAAATGCCTTACTATTAAAAAGTGACTGCAGATTTGTGATTTGAAATATTTTGTACTTTGCAAGATGCTACCTAGGAATCACACTGATATTCTGCAAACTGATGTATGTGCATGTGAGAAATAAAATCGGATAAACCAGATAACTTTGTTTACCTTGACCTTACAATATGGGTGTAACATCTTTCCTTTGCATATGGCACCATTATATTAGTGTTGCTATGCTAGCAGCCTATCTCCTCAATCACAATGTAGAATATAAAATGAATAAATCATATATCCTTTTAGAATAAACTGCAGAGATTGAAATTTGGAATATGGAAAAAGGATCTGAAAGTGGGATATATCCTCAGCTTGTGTAAATTAACTTCAGATGCTGTGGCGACTATTTATCAGGCTTCAAATATTTTACAGCCTTCATATTCCTTTGATATTTCCCCTTAAGTGCAGACAGGGCAGAGGCCTCAGTGGCTGCAAGGTTAAAACTGTAAATTGCACTTCAAAGAATTTGGAGCATTAAATCTGCTACTCACCTTTGAAATTCTGGTGTAGACTAGTCATTGACATCTTCATAACTCCTGGGCAGTATTTCCAGCAAAGCACTCTAAATAAGGTGAGTCCATAGCATTTGACCAGTCATAAGCCATCCATGTTCTTTGTTTTTTCTGTGTATGCAGATTCATAGCTGTTGAAATAGTGATTGTGTTCTCCTAGATGGATACTTTTTGAAGCCAGAAACATAAAAACAGTTAACACCTCACAGTAATGATCTGTTCCTGTTACTCTAAAATGAAAAAAAAAAAAAAAAAAAAAAAAAAAAAAAAAAAA